GGCCTTTTACACCCTGAGCCCCGGGCGTGGCACAGAACAGGAGGTGGCCACCGCCGGGGCCAGGAGGCTCCAGGTGATCCAGGCCTGTCTGGAAGGATTTGAAATGGCACCTTCCCTGTGGTTTTCAGAAAATCAGACCCGATAACGAGCTTTTTGAAGTCCGAGAGAAGCCTGGCGCTGAACTGGCAAACCCGGCCCCTTCTGTCACAAACACCGCTGACCTGACTGATGCCCGAGAGATTAACTTCGAGTACCTTAAACACGTGGTTTTGAAATTCATGTCCTGTCGTGAATCCGAGGTAATGGGCTTGGGCTGTTTTGGGGCACTGAGTTCCCCCCCAGGGCTGGGCTCATTTGAAGGCACCCTGCAGGGCCCCAGCCAGACCCCCACCCGCCTCCCCCACATTTCCACTTGACCCCAGCATGGCACCAATTGTGTGTCCAGCCGCCACCCCGCTGCCTGGGCCCCCACGAGCTGGATCCCGGGAGGCATGTTGGATGCTGAGGTCTGCGCAGCACCCCAGCATCTGCCTCCTGCCACAGGGCAGCTGGATGCTCGGGGTCCTGGTCCTCTTGTGGCCCCTGAAGTAAAGATGGGGAGGGAGACGGGACCTGTCTTTGCTCAGCAGTGGGCGCAGCAGTGTGTCGCCCCATCCCCAGGCCCACGGCAGCCCAACTCACTCTGTTTCAGGCTTTTCATCTGATAAAAGCGGTGTCAGTGCTGCTCAACTTCTCACAGGAGGAAGAGAATATGCTCAAAGAGACGCTGGAGTATAAGGTGGGTCCCCTGTGCTGCTGGGGCACCCCAGGCGCGGCCAGCACCAGCCCTGGCCAGCGGGCCGGCTCAGAGCTGTGCTGTCAACCCAGGGGGTGCTTCCCTTGAAGCACGACGCACACGCTGAGGGCAGGATTTTCTCAGGATCTGCCTTGAGCCCCCAGGCCTGTGCCATATTCGCCAGCGGGTCTTATACTTCCGTTTTCCTTGGTATCACTGCACCTGCAGACCTAGCGCTGGCCCAGCACCAGACTTAAAAAAAAACCCAGAAGTACTTGCATAAGTGAAGTAATAGAGCAGTTCAGGGGGACACTACCTGCAAGTTCACCCACTGGTTGGCTCAGCCCTACCGACAGTTCACCACTGGCTTCAGCTGCTCCGCTCATGCTGCGCGGAGGGCCGGAGGGGTGCCCCGGGACCCCCAGGGGCTCCTCCAGCTTCCCCCGGCCCCGGCCCCAGTTCTGGTCTCAGGAGTCTTTCTGTTTCAAACAGATGTCGTGGTTCGGGTCCAAGCCGGCTCCCAAGGGCAGCATCCGGCCGTCCATCTCCAACCCTCGGATACCGTGGTCCTAGAGAGGGCCACCCCAGGATGGAGGGGCTGACACTTTTTCTGTGAAAAGAACACTGACACACCGGTCTGGGTGGGTTTTTAATCACTGTAACTGCAGTATTTTGTACAAGCGTCTAAACATTGTTTACAAGACTCACGGCCACTCCCTGCAGACTGCTCTGGCCCTCAGAGGGAGCCGACCCCCAGTCGCCCTGGCCACCTGTGGGAGGGCACTGCACTACATTTCCAGTGCTGGCCAGCACCCACCTGCACCCCAGTTCTTGTTCACGTCAGCACTTAGAGCGGAAGCATCAGCGTCTGTCAGAGGCCGCCGGAGACCCACGGCAGCTGGCGGTGGCCTCTCAGCCAAGGACGACACAGCTCTCTGAGGTGGTGCCAGCCAGCCACACCCCCTGCTTCTGCCCAGACAGTTAACTCAGTGGGGTGCCTTTTAGAAAAAACCCCTTCTCTGGCAGCATGTTTGGGTTCAGGCGAGCTCCAGGAGGTGGTCAACCCTTCCTCTCGAGAAAGCAGTTTCTAGGTCGTTTCTCAGACCTAGAGCTCTAGCTGTGGACGTCTTTAAAGGTACTCTGGGGCCGGTGTGGACTGAGGAATACGCAGCTTGCTGAAGAAAAGCAGCAGACGTATTAAGAGATCCTGAGTATAGCACCAAATACACTCAGTTGCCTTCTAATGAATGTACGTGTCTCGGATAGGTTGCTGGTAAACCATCAAACTATTTTTATAGCTGAAGTTGTTGACTATGATAAACATGACTTACAAAATCCACTCAGCTGATGTTCTCTAAGGCAAGTCAGAGCATCAAGAGGAAGCTGTTTCTGAGTCTGGGACTCCCAGCCCTCTGGCACCTGGCTGGCCTCGTGGCCTGGCCTGCAGCGGCAGCAGCGGATTCCATCTGCTTTGCTCTCGGATTCTCAGCACTGACCCGCTTCCTGCTGAGGACCGGCCACTGTCTCGAGGGAGACGTCCGGTCTGCCCTTGTGGGGTCCCCCCTCCCTGTCCTTCTGCCCAGAGGCCCTGTCACTGGCACATGTCGACAGCTCCTCGCTGCAGTGCTGTTGTGCAGAGGGCTCCAGCAGGGCGGCGCCGCGCTCGCTTGGCTGTCAGGGAAGCGGGGCCAGGCTCGCCCTGGGTAAGTGACCACGTCAGGTCCTTTTACTCAGCGTGACACAAGTTTCATTGGCTAAGCTCAAAACCAGTAACTGGAGCTCCTAAATCATCAGCCAGCCTGTGATGGAAACTTGCCTCTCAGTTCTGCTTAGGGTTAAAACAGAGTTTATCTCACAGAAAAGCAAGGATTTGTAGCATTAACCTGCAGCTCCACGGACCTACCAGCAGGGGCGGCACCACCGTGGTCCCAGCCCTGGCTCTGCCACATGCCACCTCCTCTCCAGTCACCTACCTCCTCCCAGGGCCCTCGCTGCCGCTGGCTTGTTAAGAACACGGTTTCCCATTTACCTGCTGGGGACAGAACCAGAAGTCCCTTCCCTTCTGTGATTTGGTCAGAGTTAGCTTTTTTAAAATTATAGTTCCTTGCCAGCTGTTTCAGGAGAAAACCCCCTTAGAGACGGGAACTCAGGGCTTGCCAGAGTAGCTGCACTACTGTGGGAGCCCCATCAACGCCGCTGTGGCTTCTGCAGCCCCCAAGCTGGCCTCACGCACTCCCCACACCCCCTGGCAGTTCCAGCACAGTTTAGGGGGCCCATCACCAAGCCCATTTTTGCTTTGGGAGGATGAGTTCTGATTTGGCTTGCCTCCTGCATGTGGAATTCAGCTTTAAGAGGAAGAGTGGAGTAAATATTCTAAGTGATTTGATGCACTTTTACTTGTATAAGATGTCCTGTGATACAGTATATATAGCCCTTTATATCAACATTAGACCTTGACTGCTCCCTCCATGCTGTAAATAGGGATTATATTATCTAAAACTGCTGTAGAGAATTCATTTGTGGTGCAATATACTTTTTGATTAAAGCTCTTCAACCCAGGTGCAGCGTCAGTGGATTTTACTTGATGTAGTCTGGTATCAGTTCTTTCTTTCACTTGTGAAATGTAGTCCATTGCATCTCCTGTTTAATTCCAGCCAATGCCAAGGGCCATGTAGAACATGTGTCTTTCTGAAGCACGTCCCCAGCGGTGTGGGGCTGCACAAGTAAGTGCAAGTTCATGAGTGAAGCCAGCAGCCTAGTCCTACCTCCCTGGGATGCTGGGGTTTCTACGGAGCCAGAGATTGTCACTGGTCAGCGCACGTGCCGCTCCAGGCCTGCGGGACTGGGGAGAACTTGAGCAGTGTGAATGGGGTCCTCACCTTTAACACAACCAAGCTGCTTTATATGGCCGGAAAGGAAGATCGTTTTTGCTCTTCTAATGAACTCAGTGGCTGTAGGAGACAGTGTTGCTTCTATAGCCGAACCCAGTCAGTCAGGAGCCAGTCTCCACGCCCGTCTGAGGCCCACTCCCAGGACTCCAAGCAGTCACAGAAACGGAAGACTTTTAAAGCCTAGGTCAATTACTGAATGTTTGGCACTTTATTGAGTAAGCTCCAAAATTACATACAAATCAAAGGAGTAAAAACAGTATAGTTATTCAGCAAAACATCTCCCTCTAGCAGCCAGCAGCACGGTGGCCCAGGCCTGAGGCCTTGTGGTGGCAGGAGGGCTGTGCTCGCCCCTGGACATCAAGTGGGCACAGGTCTATTCCCTCCACACCCACTTTCCAGAAGAGCCGACCTCTCTCGTTACCACCCCTTTCACCACGACTCTTGTTTTACATACATGAAACACACCGCAAGTGTATCTAATAAGCCAAGAGCTTTATTGATGCAGCAGGCACTTTACAAGGAACCCAAGAGAGCCGCCTTCGGGGGGAGGTCGGACGCTGTACAAACCCTCGGGGTTTTTCCACTTCAAAAAAAAGCCAAACAAGCAAGCTCTCCCTCTCACCACAGCCCTTGCATCCGCACCTGCCCGAATCGTCCCACTCCTGCTTTAAACAGGCAGTGCTCACGGGTGTGCCTGACCAACACTGGCCGCCACTCCGGGAGAGTCACAATGTCAGTTCTGCATTCTCGTGGACAAAGGCATAGACTATCAGATCCTGCACAGGATTTAGGAAACAGTAAGACGATTTCTCCCTCCACCTTGAAAATAAAATACACTTGAGTGGATGCACGTCCTGAAATAGTTGAGTTGGGAGTCCTAGGAAGATGGTCGTTGGCAATCCCTTCTTCACCAGCCTGGGCATCCAGAACTCTTCGCGAGGTAACAAAAGTCCCTGTTTGTTTTAAACAGTCTTTCTTGCTGTAAGAACTCTTATAATGGAGCCTAGTCCTCCTACTGCTAATGCCTGTGGGGCAGGAAAAGGACAGGTGTGAAGTGAGACCTGGTGGCCCAGAGGAGCGTGCTTTACCCAGGATGGGGGCCTCGTCCTTGCACGACCTAGCTCCCACCATGTCAGACAGACACTGAGGAAAAAGGAGTCCAGCACAGCAGTCAGGAGGCAGCAACAAAGCCGTGTTATAGGCCTCAGCCCTGCCTGGAGTCAAGGACTTCAAGGAGCAGAACTGGCCTTAAGGACACGGCAGAGCCCCCAGATTTCACTGACACACCCATTTCTCCAGCCCCAGGCACTTACACATCACTGGTGCTTTGGCAGTGCCTCCTGGAGCCCTTAGAAATGCCAGCAGGGCCGGGGCATCTGGTGCCCTGGAGGGACCACCATGCGGGAGGGAGCTGCACGTGGTTTGCTAAACACTGCGGCCGCCATACCCGCCCAGCTCAGGAGTGCACCTGACCAGCGAGATGGAGCCACCAGCAGGACCAGGCCCCCCTCCAGCCCAGCACTGCTGAGGCTGTCCCCCGGGTAAGAGGGCCATTCTCTGGCAACTTTCTGAGCCTTTTTGGAAGGACAGTCTTAAAAATAGGCTGGCCGCCTCTCTGGGCGGGTGCGTTTCCTGCCTATCAGGGCAGGGGCACACAGACAGGACGCAAGCTTGACAAGGCCTTGCTCTTATGCTGAACCAACAGACGACAGCAGACAAGCACAGCCTTTTCTGCTTCATGTGGATGAAGGCCCAATGAGTGACCTGTCAAGGGTGCAGCCACTGCCCCCTCAGCCGAGTCAGCTGAGGCCAAAGCAGGGCGCCCTGGCTACCACTAAATCCCCATTCCACCAGTGCAAAGCAGGTATCATGAAGCGTTGGCACCGGTAAGCCCGCCCGTCCCCCACCCACACCGGCCTCTCTACCTCACAGGCCAAGTGTAGCTACCTTCTGGCCCCATGTCCTCACAAGCCAGCATCAATGCAGCTGTGGTGACCAGAGGCAGCAGAACCTACCAGGCGCTTCCTGGGAGAGGCGGGTAAGCAGGTGTCGCAGTCGGCCAGGCACGACCCCTGATGCTAACAGACCATCCTGTGTGTTCTGGGAAGTCTGACCTGCTCACTTGAGACCCGGGCTGGGGTGGAGTTGTGGGCGGTCTGCACGGGCAATGTGTTCACATACCTTTTCATGCCACTGGAGTAACACTGCGCTGCTATTTTCTGTGGGCTTCTCAAACCCTTTATAAATGTACTTCATTAGCAAGTCAATGCCATTTCTGTCCAGTGACTGCACAGCCTGCTCGATTTCACTGCTCTTAAAATTTGTAAGCACTTTCAGCACAACACCCTGGGCTCGTTCCTACAGAGGAGAGAGAAAGGGAGTGAGGCTCAGAGCCACAGCCCAGGCACATCCACCACTGCAGGCAGAACTTTCTAGAAAAATTGCACAATTTCTATTGTATTTGGTCTGGGGTGTTCAGAAAATGAGGGCTGAAACTCCTGACAGATTCCAAAGCATCCCTTGCAAGTAAGCTATCACACTTATTCCTGGGGGCGGGGACTGGTTTACTGTGGAGAAGCATCACTGTTCTCGAAACCGGCTCAGACGCCATGGGAATCACAACCGTGGAGACATATTTTCTTTAAAAAACAAAACAACAGCTGCTTTGGCTGTAGCTCCCTACCTTACCCATGGCCCCATAAGAGTCACAGCCCTTGGCATCTGGGGACAGCCGCTGGTCGCATCAAGTCGCTGTCACAATTTGGCTAAATCACACCTTGAGAGACCCCTTTCCCTGGACCCCATTTCCAGCCTCAGCGCCGTAAGCACAGCTGTGTGTATCTTCTCACCCAGTTTTTAAAAGGCACAAATCTCTCAGAAGCACTGAAAATCCTTATGCATTCAAGAGACTATGAAGGCAGAGCCACAAGAAGCCCTGCCATGGCAGCTGATTTATAATTCTGCTAATCAGCCAGGGCTGGACTGACTTCTCAAAGCCCGGAGGCCCTGGGGAGGAGCGAGCATTTCTTCGGGGAGCTTTTACTATAAACACTGACAGCTTTGACGGCTTCCGTGGAAGGCCTGCCCAGTGCCAGCTTCCTCCGCGGCAGACACTCACTGATGAGAGATGAAACAAGCCCAGGGAGCTCTCACACAGCAGGGGAGATGAGAGCCAGGCCCAGCCCCAACAGCACCCAGCAGAGCTGCCTTGAGATGCCCTTTACCTTCACAGCTTGATTCTTGGTGTTGACGGGAGAGTTCCGCAAGGCTGCATGGAAGGCCCGAAGCATGTCCCCTGTGCATCGGCACCGTTAAGGATGGCTTGGCTCTCGTACGTCTGTGCTTTTATTAGTGAACTCTTCAGAAACAGCTCAAGACCACTGTCAAATGGCCATGTGGCCATGTCCACCACCTCCCACTGCCGACTTCTTGGGCAAACCTGTTTAGAGGATACCTGTAGCTCCCCTGGGCCAAAAAGAGGGTAATGGGCACCTTGCCAGTGCTGCAAGTCCCTCTGTTGGCATCCCCCAAGCCGTCCCCTCGAAGTAAGTTTGAACACACTCAGCCCCTGGAAGGCACCGGAGCCAGGCCACCACTCCCCAGGACGGCAGGCAGCGGATCTGACTGTGCTCCCGCCTGCTGCATGGTGCCGCGCTACCTACCTGCCTGTCCCTGACCCTCACAGCCACCAGGTTGGGTTATCATCCCCGCCTCATTCCCAACAGGGAGGAATAAAAGCACAGGTCCCCTAACTTTTCATCCAACGTCTATTATCGCTTAAACTAAAGAAAATAAGATGTGCTGAAACGGCTACCTTTGAAGTCCCACTACCTAAGATCGCTGCAGTCCCAGCTGCGACCAACGCAGGGAACTTAGTAAATCTAAAGGACCCCTGCCAACAAGGCCACGCACCCCACTCCAACTCCCTAAAACTCAGTGGCAACCCTGACACCGTGCTGATTTCTGAATACGGAGCGCTCGGAAGAAAACTACAATCTGGGTTAGGTCCCCAAAGGTGACACCTATTTTAAACTGAGTTGCATCATCTGACTTTCATTTCCTCATCTGAAACACTGGCTTCAGCCAAAAAGCTTCCAAAATAGAACAAGGAACGGCTGCTGCCCAATCAGGTCTCTACTGTTCATGCGGGATGCCCACATGTGAACAGACCAAGCCCCCGCGCAGAGCCCGCCCCGGCTGCCCGGTGTGGGGTCCATCTTGACAGCGCTGGGCCCGGGCTGCCTTGGAGGTACGCCCACGGAGCTCCCTGAACCCCGCTAGGCTCTAAGCACATGGGAGCCGCTCCCGCCCCCCATATCTTGAGTGTCTTTGTCCCCAGCTGAACAAGGGCTAGCCTGATATAAGCCACTGATAACAGCTACCAGCTAACTGTCTCTGATTTGGCATCCTGGAGCAATAAGCAATCCCAGAAGCTCGAAGACAGGGCTGGCATGCTACCTGGATGACTGGCAGCCCACCCGTTCAGAAGATGCATGGGGAAGGATGAGGATGACCAGTCCATGGTGCAAAAAAGTCACTGCTTTGGAGTCACCCCTCTCTGTAGTGCCGTCCAAGCCTTCACATGGCTGGTGCGTATGCTCCGGAGGCTAGATCCTCTGGGCCAGGGGTCCTCACCTCGCACCGACACTTCAGGGTGGGTGG